TCTTTCTTAATAATTTGATTAGTTGTTGTGAAAAGTGATTAATAATAAAATTGGTTAAAAACAGGTGTGGCTGTTGGATGTGGGTGGCAAGCATTTGTGGCATATGTGAACATTGGATGTTATTACATTGTGGGGATTCCTATTGGTTATGTTCTTGGTTTCACCTATGATATGGGAGCTAAGGTAAATTTCCTAAATCTACATCATTTATGTTATAATTAATGATTAATTATTGATTGGTGTAGTAAAGTGGGGATATATAATTAAATGGTTAACGATTTGGTGCAGGGAATATGGACAGGAATGATTGGGGGTACACTCATGCAAACTATTATCTTAGTCATTGTCACGTTCCGAACTGATTGGGATAAAGAGGTAAATTACTAATTACCATTTATATTATTATTCATAAGTGTGGGTTAATTAGTATGTTTGTTATTGATGATGAAATTTGTCTTTTTGAATTGTAAATTTCAGGTTGAGAAGGCTTCGAGACGACTGGACCAGTGGGAAGATCAAGCTCCCCTTCTTAAGCAATAAAAAAGAAATTGATTTTTTCAAAAAAAAAAAAAACATAATCTTGTCGAGATTTGGTGGTCAAGTTTTTTTTTTATAAAAATGATAAAACCCTAATTACTTAATCAAGAGATATGGCAATCTCTTGATTATGAATGGAAAATCGATAGTTTTCCAAGAGAGTCAGGGTGAAGAAGGAAGTCAATGTAATTTTGGTTATATAGAGGAAGTAATACTGAGATGTGAGATTGAAAAATGTAACAAAATAGTGTATTATGTGAAAGAGTGAATTTTTTTTTTTGATAAACCGTTTGGAGTTTTGGATTTTTTTATCCATATTCTCTTCAGTGTCCGAGGTCAGCCGTTGATAGTATCACGTTTACAACGTAAATCACTTTTTCTAAGTAGAGTTGAACTAGTGATCTTGAAAAAAAATTTTCAAATTTCAAGACCACTAGACCACCAACGACTTAGTGAAAGAGTAAATTTGTTGTAACTATTCTTTGTTTGAAAGAACTCTAACAATGAAACACTAGTTTTATGCTAGTTTTATGGTACGCAAAAATTTTGTTGTTCTGCTAACAGATACTATTAAAATAGTTAAAAAGGTTAAAACATAGCGGTCATATATAAATAACGATACTCTTTTAATATCGTTATAACTCTTTCTATTTTTATGATCGATAATCATCAAAGCAGTATACTGACAAGAGTACTTTTTGTTGCATTAGTTCACATGCAATGACAAGAGTAACAGAAGATAACAATAATAATGATAAAAAGTTTTCAATAAAAGAATCATGAAAAGTATACTCGTTTTGTTGTTAGTGATTCAACGTCAAAACTTAATGATAGATTACAGCTATATATTCGCAACCAAGTTTTTCAAAATGTTATTACTACGAGTGTTAAAATTTTGTTTTT